TGATACTTTTAAAAGCATTTTTAATGATTTTTATATCAATGTACTAATCAAGTCCACTATAATGTACAATCAAGGGTGTCGATTTGTATCCGTGGTTGGGGGAATGATAGGTGCCAAAATATTTCGGAAATGGATCAAAGCAACCAAGAGGTAGAAGCGTGTCAGGTTGCACCCCTCCCCAATCGCGTAGCCCGGCAGGATTTCCTTTTTTTGGGGGGGGGGGGGGGGAAGTGAGCACGCAAAGCGTGCGAAGCGCGCTCCCTAGGGGTTGGGTGCAGGGAGGGAGGAGTTTCCCCCATCCGGGCCCCGCGAAGCGCGGAAGCTTTAAATTATTAGGAAAGAAGACGATTAGTTGGAACACTCTCGACTCTTAATCCTTGTTTGAATCAAGTTTCCCTCCCAGCGCGTAGCGCGGAAGCTCTGACGTTTCATTAGATTATTAAAGAAAGAAGACGATTCGATGTACCATTCTTGACTCTTAATCCTTGTCTGAATTCAGTTCCCCCCTCCCGCACAAGCTTTGACGTTTCATTTAATCATTAGAGTAAGAAGACGATTTATTACCGTTCTCGACTCTTAATCCTTGTCTTAATTCAGTTCCCCCACCCCCTCCCGCGCGAAGCGGGGAATTTTTTTGCGTTTCAAATAATTATTACTCTTCAGCCTTGTCTGAATTCTTTTTCGCCCATCCCGCGCGAAGCGCGTAAGCTTTCACGTTTTATTATTAAAGAAAGAAGACGATTCGTTGTATCCTGTTCTTGTCTGAATTCAGTTTCCCACTGCGGAAGCTTTGTACACTGTGGCTCATAAAGGTTGAATATTTTTTTTTAACCTCAATTTTTTATGTTGGGGACCAGGGTAAAATGCAATAAATTATTGAAAATTTATTGCATTTTCTGTTTTTTTTTTATTTATGGAAACTGCCCCCTACCCTAGCCCCCGCTGCGTACAGTCATGGTTCAGTGACAAAGCAATGGCCTCGCAACTGTGAGGCCCCAGGATCAAAACCGTGTCGATGTGCTATGTGCCCTTTTGTGGGGCATTGATCCTCATTACTGTCATTTATGACTTAAGGGCGTAGGTCCCCTAGTTGATAAGCATAGTAGCACACACATGCTTCAGCAGTCACGCGAAACACACATTGGCAAATTATTATTCAATAAGATATGAGAATGTATACTATTATCTAGATCTATTATTTTTAAATTATTTTAAAAATAATTCCGTAAATTGAGGAAAAAAACAAATATTCCACCTTTATGAGCGACTGTGTATTTCAATAAATTATTACTCTTAATCCTTGTCTGAATTTATTTTTGCCCATCTCGCGCGAAGCACGGAAGCTTTCACGTTTCTTTAAATTATTCGAGAAAGACGACGATTCGTTGTATCGTGTCCTTGTCTGAGTGCTATTCCCCCCGCCCACCCGCGCGAAGCGCGGACGCTTTGACGTTTCATTTAATTATTACTCTTAATCCTTGTCTTAATTCATTTTCGCCCATTCCTGCGCGAAGCTTTCACATTTCATTACATTATTAGAGAAAGAAGACGATTAATTTATCGTGTCCTTGTCTGAATTCAGTTTCCCTCCTACCGCGCGAAACGCGGAAGCTTTGACAGTTCAATAAATTATTACTCTTAATCCTTGTCCATATTCATTTTCGCCCATCCTGCGCGAAGCGCGGAAGCTTTACTGTTTCATTAAATTATTAGAGAAGGAAGACGATTCGTTGTATCGTGTCCTTGTGTGAATTCAGTCCCCCCATATACGGTTGTCTCATTTACTTCGTATATATGGATGTATTATGGAAATGAGATAGCAAAATGTGTATATTGATGGTCATCTTGCATCGGGCTCTCATCATTAATTTTTCTCTTTATTTTTTTTTATGGTGAATTATTGGGGGGGGGGGGATGATTGTACAGGCCAACCCCCCACCTGAAATATTGGGGGGGGGGGGGGGGATACACCCCCATCCCCCGGGATCGACACCCATATGTACAATACAATACAAAACAAAGCAAATGACGTTTTACAAATCTCATTTGTTATCATTATTATTGTCATCGGTATCGGTATTATTATTATCATCATCATCACCATCATTACAGTACAATGTAATTCAATATAATACAATTATAGCAGGACATGTAATTTATAGGTGTCTTTAGTTTTCGTTGGATGCAGTATTTATAGGATGTACCTATTAATATCCTTCGGCGTCATTCGGCTCTCCCACCGAATCTTAGTCGGTCAATGACTTACACCTAACATTAGGGAATTTTAGCTTTGCACGTCAACATAGTGGACTGCTACGTGTGACGTTTTAGGCACTGGCAGTGCCTTTCACATCGATCTAAAAGTCCCTATTGTAAACCACCGCATATCGTAGATTGCCTATCCCCAATGCCAGATTAACCACGTGATCATTTAGACAGCAAGTCAGAGGACGTCCCTCGCCGTCTATAGCCTTTCTATAGAAGACGCTTGATCCATGAGCACACGGAGCACTAGACAATATAGGGACCTTTTGATTTGCACGTTCACGAGTATACTGCAACGTATGAGGTCATTTTTTAAGCAGTGCGTATGCAACCCTGCTTCAAAAAAATGACCACAGACGTAGTAGTCCACTAGTGAACGTGCAAATCGAAAGTCCCCACTACTACAAGCTTAGAGCGCAGGTGCTAGCTACCAAGCACAGACTCATTGGGCAGGGTAGTCCTTTAAAAAAATGTTATTCTCAAGATGATGTCATTTCGGCCCTGGCCATCAGAAACCTTCTGATTAATTTGCATAAGTAGTCTCAGCTCTGTCCTTACATCAATTATTTATATGATTAATTTCTGTGATGAACATTACTCATTAAAACTTCATTTTTGGCAGATCAAGAATTTGCAGGGTAACCTGTGTCACAGTTTTTAGAGTTTTATAGTTACACTATGTGAGCAATACTATAAACCGTTCTAGTCTACGATATTAATACTTATCGTGCACGAAATGGGCCATCGTTTTAAATTGATATGAAGGAGATTCTTGCGTTATGATATATCCGTTAAGTTTTTTTTTTTTTTTTTTTTTTTTTTGGGGGGGGGGGGAGATTAATTGATAGAGATAGTTATCCGATAATATTTTTGGATAACTCCCACACCATATCACAACTTTCTCACAAGTCACAACTATATTCTTCTTTACCTCCTTAGGTAAGATCAGTTAGGTCATACGAGCGTAAGACGAGGACGCCTACATCAGAAATGTTGTCCGTTCTATCACTTTTATCGTGTTAATTCTGTTAATTATTATTCGAGACTTTTAGACATATTGTGTTTCAATATAGCACTTCAACCTAACTTGAAACAGAAAAAGCGTGTAATCATATTGATATTTCTGTACGATTTCTGTTTAAAGATTTTCAGGTTTTAATAGCCGACTAATAGGCCTATTATATTTAATGTCGGTGTTTACTACCATTGGATATCAATGTTCCCTTTGTGTTCTTTAACACATAACCGTTAATATTTTTCATATGGTTTTTGCGTGTGATTTAATCACTTGTTTAAATGTTTAAATGTTCATTCAAGAATGTAATATGACTTTTGGTTTCGTCTGAACACCTTTATGATTGTTCTCCAAAACTTTATTTCAGTTTTGATTACTGTTTACAAAAATGATTATCCCAATTTTCGAAGGAAAACAAAAATCCGAGCGCTTAAACACAGCTCAATTTGAGGCTGACTGTCTGCAGAAAAGGATACAAATTTGTTAATGCTCCTATGAGCTTGTGTTAGCATTTGATATTTAAGAGCGATATATTATCATCAGACAAAGGTGTACTTTTACTTGTTCAGAGGTGATATATTGACGTCATGGCAAACGGCTCAATATTTTACCCATTGGTCGTCGCTTGCCTCCTCGTCAGCTCGTCCTTTCAATCTTTACATCGACACGATGAAGATTCGGCGATGACATCTTTAACAATTTTACAGGTTTTAATTGCCGACTAATAGGCCTATTATATTTAATGTCGGTGTTAACTACCATTGGTTATCAATTTTCCCTTTGTGTTGTTTAAGACATAACCGTTAATATTTTTCATATGGTTTTTGCGTGTGATTTAATCACTTGTAAATGTTTAAATGTTCATTCAAAAATGTAATATGACTTTTGGTTTCGTCTGAACACCTTTATGATTGTTCCCCAAAATTTTATTTCAGTTTTGATTACTGATTACAAAAAGGATTATCCCAATTTTTGAAGGAAAACAAAACTCCGAGCGCTTAAACACAGCTCAATATGAGGCTGACAGTCTGCATGAAAGGATACAAATTTGTTAATGCTCCTATGAGCTTGTGTTAGCATTTGATATTCAAGAGCGATATATTATCATCAGACAAAGGTGTACTTTTACTTGTTCAGAGGTGATATATTGACGTCATGGCAAACGGCTCAATATTTTACCCATTGGTCGTCGCTTGCCTCCTCGTCAGCTTGTCCTTTCAATCTTTACATCGACACGATGAAGATTCGGCGATGACATCTTTAACACTTTTACAGGTTTTAATTGCCGACTAATAGACCTATTATATTTAATGTCGGTGTTTACTACCATTGGTTATCAATTTTCCCTTTGTGTTGTTTAAGACATAACCGTTAATATTTTTCATATGGTTTTTGCGTGTGATTTAATCACTTGTAAATGATTAAATGTTCATTCAAGAATGTAATATGACTTTTGGTTTCGTCTGAACACCTTTATAATTGTTACCAAAAACTTTATTTCAGTTTTGATTACTGATTACAAAAATGATTATCCCAATTTTCGAAGGAAAACAAAACTCCGAGCGCTTAAACACAGCTCAATTTGAGGCTGACTGTCTGCATGAAAGGATACAAATTTGTTAGTGCTTCTATGAGCTTGTGTTAGCATATATTCAAGAGCGATATATTATCATCAGACAGAGGTGTACTTTAACTTTTGCAGAGGTGATACATTAACGTCATGGCAAACGGCTCAATCTTTTACCCGTTGCTCGTCGCTTGGCTCCTCGTCAGCTCGTCCTTTCAATCTTTACATCGACACGATGAAGATTCGGCGATGACATCCTTAACACTGGACATGGATAAATCTTCCCATGGATGCAATTTGAACCTAGAGTTGAAAAAAGCTTCTTGCCGCAATAAAGGCCTGGACTCAGTTCCCCAGAATCTTTCTGAGGATACCGAGTACCTTGACTTGTCTTATAACAACATCACCAAACTCTTGAATTCCTCTTTTGAAGTTTACCCTCTAATATACAACTTGGAAATTTCTTATAACGATGTAAGAGCCATAGAATCCGGCGCTTTTCACCCCCTCAAGGGCTTACTGTATCTGTCTCTATCAAAAAACCCGCGTCTTGTGCTTCCAGCAACAGGCGTCTTCATGATGTCTTCACAGCTCACGATTCTCGATTTATCGTCAACAAACTTGAAGTCGCTCCCCAATGACACTCTAAAATGGAGTCCACATCTATATGCTGCATTACTGTCCTCCAACCAGCTCACCTCTATCAATGTAAGTTCCTGTGGCATGGCCGACGATGTAACCATGGGTAGTAATCGACTACAACATCTTACGGCGAGATATTTTACCTTTGTGTGCCACACTGATACTCTAGATCTTTCAGCGAATCCTATTCAATCAGTAGATCCTGATGTGATCGCATCACTACATGTTCGCTATTTGATACTAGGTGAATATGGATATACTTTGAGTTACGAGGTGTTGGCGAACATCATCTTAGGAATATCAAAATCAGACATCGAACGGCTTAGAATCGGGGACGGTTCTGTTGGTGCGTTCCCCAAAGGTTTATTTGATCCACTGCGTGATTCTTCCCTCTCTGTTCTTGGTTTCACTAGGTACGACCTGAATAGACTGTATCCTTTAGTCTTCTCCAATTTGACAAAACTCAAACATTTCACTTTCAGTGAGAACAAACTCCCCATAGACGAAATTCAACCAGACTTTTTCGAGGACATGAATGCATTAAAGGTATTGACAATCACCCTCAACCGAGTAAGAAAAATAAATCCTCACAATCAGACTTGGACAGTGGACTTATGGGAGTTGGACTTATCTTATAATCTGTTGGCAGAAATATCGACATCTGTATTTCGCGGGTTAGGAAATTTAACTCTCTTAGACATGAGCTGGAACAAAGACCTTTCTGTCTTTCAGCTGACGGCCTTTTCAGGCCTTGACAACATTCAAACGATTGATTTGACCGGATGTCGTATAAATGTTCTGGAATTGAACACCCCGATATTAAGGTCACTTTTCCTAAACTATATTCGTCCAGACTGGCTTACTTTGGAACCAGGAAAATTCTTTCAACATTTACAATCCCTTGTTGAATTAGACATGGCAGACTCTCGGCTATTCATATTTCACATATGGAATTATGATAAAAACGCGTCTCTTTTCGATCGACTTTTGGATCTTAATCATTTGGATTTGAGTAGTAACCCTAGCCTGACCTTTGTAGATGATTTACCGCCAGGGATTTTTCAGCAACTCTCTGTTTTACAAGACCTTTATCTAGACGACTGTCATATTACAACTCTACATCCTCTTGTCTTCTCGGGGTTGGAATCTCTTCAGAAGTTGAGTTTGAAAGGAAACAACATCAAGCATACCCATGTTGATGTATTGTCGGGGTTGGGTCAAATAAAAAGTATCAACTTTGAAGGAAACCGTATCTCATACTTGGAGGAGCAAATGTTCTCAAATAACTGGAATCTCACAAATCTCTCCTTGCGCAACAACAGATTAACGCGCCTTAATGAAAGCACTTTCAGGCCAATCTTTTCCTCCATTTCATCCCTTGATCTATCAATGAACCCAATCAATTGTAACTGTGATCTAAAATGGCTTATTGGTTGGTTAAATGAACCTTTACGCTTGAAAGACAAGGACAATACTATTTGTTCGTCAGCATCTCTGGAGCCTCTTCGTGAGAAACCCCTGCTTGATTTTGATCCAAATAAACTCTGTGTAATGAACATTGGTCTATTCTTTCTGATTCCCCTTGCCTCCATTAGCTTGGTTGTAATCAGCGTGCTGTTGTATCACTACCGATGGCAGTTGAGGTACAAACTCTTTCTCTTGAAACTGGCCGCTGTGGGCTATACAGAGATGCGGGACGTCCGAGACCACAATGACTACGAGTTTGACGTGAACATCATTTTCTACGACGATGACGAAGAATGGATTCGCGAACAGCTCCGACCTGCTCTCGAAGAACGGCTTCCACAGTTTCAGAGGAACGTATTTGGTGACGAAGACCTTGTGTTGGGTATGCATTACTTAGATTCCGTCGATTACGTGGTGAGCCATAGTTACAAGACTATCATATTGCTTAGCAGAGCTGCTGTGCACGACCACTGGTTCGTACTCAAGTTCCGTACGGCCATGGACCACGTAAGTGACACTCTGACTGAATTCGTAGTCGTGGTCTTCCTCGAAGATATCCCAGATGATGAAATGCCATTCTTGGCGAGGTTGTACCTCAGTGATGGCAGACCCTATATTCACTGGACTGAGAACGTGAGAGGACAAGAATATTTCTGGGATGAATTGACCAAAAATCTTACAATTAATCTAAGGACGAATGACTTGATCCCAAACGAGTAACAGTCATGTATATGGGAATATAGAGATATGTGCGATGGTTATAAGTAATGATAGTGGTAGTAGTGGTAGCAGTTGTAGTGGTAGTAGTAGCAGTATTTGTTGTAGTAGTAGTAGAAGCAACAGCAACATCAGCAGCAGCAACAATAGTAGTATTAGTAGTAGTGGTAGTAATATCAGTAGTCGTAATAGTATAATCGTTCTACTTATATTGTTACTATTAAACAAGTATCATCATATTGTTTTTTTGATATTCTTATTCACTATCATCATTATCATTATCATCATTATCCATTAATATCATCATCGTCATTATTACTATTTTCATTGTTATCATCGCCAAGATCATCACCACCATCACCATTATCATTGTTGTTCTTGATGTTATTGTTCTTGTTTCTGTTAAAGGTATACAATGAATTACAATATGTTAGAAAATCGGTAAGTTAGTTGGCAATCGTGTAGACTTAATATGTGTTCTTGTGGTATGATAGCTTTATCACATGGTTGGATGCAAATATTTCTACTTGTTTCGGCTGTTTCTTTCTATGTTTCAATATTAAGATTACAATCACCATGACTGCAACTGTATTATTTCATATTCGCTAAATAAGAAAGTTAGCATTTAAAGAGAAGGTTGAGATCTGGGGAGAGGTGAACAATAATTTGTGAGCGTTTCCATTGTTATTTATATGCAAGTGTGGAAGAGCATCAGAGAAAAGAATGTACCTTAAAATACAAGGCTCTTCTAATACCGTCCTATTCTTAATATATTTGAACAGCTTAAAAATATGGGCCTCATTTTTATGCCACATGTTTGTGTAGTCCCATATACATCTTTCTGTGTACATTGCTTGTTACTTTTACCGAGACTGGGCTAAATTTCTTATCAATTGCACTTGCAGTACACACCAATACTTAAATGCTACATGACAACTATATCTGATTGATTCCACATCGTTTCTTTCACAACACAATCGCATGACCAGAACTCAACTTTATCTTTAACTATTTCTATATTTCTCTAAGGCTAAGCGCACACTACACGATCTGATGCGGTCCGACTTTAGAAAAATGTACAACAGCATTTTATATGAACATTCCAACACGAAAAATCTTGATGATTGAGGCTCTGTTTATTCATGTAATATAGAGGAAAAGGTAAATCGGCTCAGAATCTTAGTGACGTCATACCAGTAATACGATTGTCTACGATTTAAAGCCGATTCCGAATTAATTATGGCTTAAAGGCTTATAGGCACTAAAATGGTTGTTGTTCTTATCACTATTTGCAATGTAAATCAGCAAAACGTTCTTTGTTTAATTTTCATAACTATTTAAATAATTGTCATTTCTTCAAGAATCGATTCGCAGCCGGATTCTGTAGTGTACACCGGTAAGTGTAAGTGTGAGTGTACATATTTGTGAAGAAGAGAATCTCTTCAAGATAACCAAAACCCCAAATTCCATGAAACCTCTTTAACGACGACTTTTTCTGTAGACTATGGGTTGGAACATAACACAAGGAGTTTTATTGGTGATCCGATGTAAAAATTGAAGGTTTTTCTCATTGTGTTATCGGCTGTTTTTTCAAAATTATGTCTTAAAATTCTTGGTGTCATTAAGATTACCTAAAAAATACTGATCTCTGAAAATATATAAATTTTCGCCTTCGAAATTGTCGAACATGAATGCTTTATACATGTATATAGTACATTTCTGTAAATAACCCCAGTCACAACAATTTTTGCATGTTTTCAATAGTATTTTAATACTTCACACATAATTTTACATTATTGTATGATAGTTCACCTTTCAGTGTAAACATGATTTTGTCACAGGAATATACTATCGTATTACAGCAAAATTAATGTCTACCTTTGTTTCTCACAGTTTAGATAACTGATCTCTGAAAATATAGAAATATCGATCAAGAATGCTTTATACATGTATATAGTACATTTCTGTAAATTATGCCAGTCACAACAATTTTTGCATGTTCTCAATAGCATTTTTAATTCTTCACACATACTTATACATTGTTGTATGATAGTTCACTGTGTATTCCTGTGTTTATCACAGTTTAGACGAAAAGGTCACAGCTATGGTTGTTCGGAGCGAGAAAGGAGGAGGATAGGATGTCCCCTTCTAATTTGAGCATTTTTAAGACATGATTATCAGCATTGTAATGCACTTTCGAAGTAACTGACCTGGGTCTTGTTTCATATAACATGTTATCAATGACAAATGCTACATGTCAACGATTGTCTACGATTTGAAGTCGATTCAGAAATAATTGTGGCTTAAAGGCTTAGAGGCACTGAAATGGTTGTTGTTCTTTTCATTATTTGCAATGTAAATCAGCAAAACGTTCTTTGTTTAAATTTCATAACTATATAAATAATTGTCATTTTTTTCAAGAATCTGATCGCAGTCGGATCATTTAGTGTACACCGGTAAGTGTAAGTGTAATTGTACATATTTGTGAAGAAGAGAATCTCTTCAAGATAACCAAAAACCCAATTTCCATGAAACCTCCAGTTAACAACGACCTTTTCTGTAGACTATGGTTTGGAACATAACATGAGGAATTATATTGATGATTCGATGTAGAACTTAAGGGTTTTTCTCATTGTGTTATCGGCTGTTTTTACACAATTGTGTCTCAAATTCTCAGTGTCAATAAGATTCCCTCAAGAATACTGATCTCTGAAAATATATAAATTTCCGCCATCGAAAATGTCGAACATGAATGCTTTATACATGTATATAGTAGATTTCTGTAAATTTTGCCAGTCACAACAATTGTTTTGCATGTTTTCAATAAATTGTTTAATACTTCACACATACTTTTACATTGTTGTATGGTAGTTCACCTTTTCAGTGTAAAACGCTCCGTCAAAGGAAAATAATATAGATTTACAGCGAAATTATTGTGTACCTGCGTTTCTCACACTTCAGACGAAAAGGTCACAACTATGGATGTTCGGAGCGAGAAAGGAGAAGGAAGTGATATCCCGTCTAATTTGAGCGTTTCTAAACATAATAATTAGCATTGTATAGAGTGGAGAAGTGTGACGTCATCAAAAAATTATATTTTTTAAATTTCTTAATTTTTTCTTCATTTTCCGAAAGAACATAAAAAACAGTGTCCGAATGTCGAAAACCAATTGAATATATTAAGTATTGGCTGAGATATGACCATCTGAATAAATATATGTCCTATGGGAACTCCGTGTTATAGTGCTCTAGTTCATAACATTGGGAACCAGAGCACTACAACACTAAGCTCCTTTAGGACAGATATTTATTCAGATGGTCATATCTCAGCCAATACTTAACATATTGGATTAGTTTTTCTACAGTCGGACATTATTTTTGATGCTCTTTTGGAAAATGAAGACAAAATTGAGAAATTCTAAAAAATAGATTTTTAGGATGGCACAGCTTCAGCACTCTTGGCACTATCGAAGTAATCGACCTCTGCCCTGTTTCATACAATCAATAACAAATGCTATAGTTCTATGACAAACTTGTTCTCGGTCAATCAAATGCCACGATTTCAGTAACTTATAACAGTTTTTTCTAACTTGTTATTGTTGACAGGCTTTATGAAACACTCCCCTGGTTCCCTCTTTTTGTCGATTAATGTAAGAACTTGAAGAGAAAGTGAAAACCTGAAAATATAAGAAAGAAAGTGTTTAGAAATACGAGAAATGGAAAACTAGCAGTGTTTACTTTTTGTAACGAACTTACAAAAGATAGTTATGGAATGAGGGGGATTTCCCTCTTAAAGCCAGGAAAATTTAGGACATTATTTTACCCGGAAATAGGAACATTAATACAATGGGGGGGGGGGGGGGGGGAGGAGGGGAGCAGATAGTAAAAAAGAGGAAACTAATTTGTTTATCAGATGACATTAGCATCACTACTCCCCAATTCTATAGGCCTCTACTAGAGCCAAGGAGATTTAAACAAATTAAAGTCATGTCATCTACTGTTGGCATTAAAACATGAAGGCTTATTTCTTGATGCCTTCATCAAATTCTATACAAAATTGTCTGTGCTAATCTGTGTTCAATCTCTTCCTGAAAGGATATCTGCTCGCTATGCATGTTATTATATGAGGCTAGCGGAAAAGTGTTCTAAACCTCGAACCCCGCCCCATCCCATCTAGTTACACGTTCGTACATGACTTCATGAATGTAATCAGCATGATTTGGAAGAGATAGAACATGATATCAAGAGAAGGAGAAATGGATTGGGAGAGAAAGGGAAAGAGAGGGGAGGTAGATGGTGTAGAGAAAAACAGATACAGAGAGAGAATATAGAGGTGAAATATAGAGAATGATATGATGAGAAGGAGAGATTGAAGGAGAGAAAAAGAGAAGGGGAGATAGAGAGTCTACTGGAGAGAGACGGTGGAGAGGGAGAGATAGGCAGATAGAGAGAGAGAGAGAGAGGAGAAGGAGAGAGATGGTAGAGAGAGGAAGAAGAGAGAAATAGAGAGAGAGGGAGAGAGAGCGCGAGAGTGAGTGAGAGTGAGAGAGAGTGAGAGAGGGAGAGAGAGAGAGAGAGAGAGAGCGAGAGTTAGAGAGAGAATGAGAGAGAGAGAGGGGCAGAGAGGGAGAGAGAAGGAGAGGGAGATGGTAGAGAGGGAGGAAGAAGAGAGAGGGAGAGAGAGCGAAAGTGAGTGAGAGAGAGAGGGAGAGAGAGCGAGAGTTGGAGAGATAGAGAGAGAGAATGAGAGAAAAGGGGGGGGGGGGGGGCAAGATGAGGGTATCTGCCACAACACTTACATCAAAGAGCACCGCAACAATTATCTAAATTATTCTAATAATAGGAAGAGATGAACGATTATGATATGACGAAAGAGGGCGACATCTTATGAATATTCAATCGGCTCTTTGACCCCTAGTTTCAATTCCAAATATGGGTTTTGGCTCGCACAATCAACACTTCACAATGATTTCAATGTATATACATAGAAAATCATATATTTTAT